CCGTCGCGGAGGGATCGCTGCGACAGAACTGCGCCAACCCCGACGTCCGAGGCGTCAACCTCGACAATGAACTGGGCCTCAGGATCTGGAACCAACAGAACAGGTGCAGAGATAAAACGGGACCTTAATATGTCAAAGGCTACCTGAGCATCCTGGTTCCACCTGAAGGACACCTTGGTGGAGGTTAATGCCGTGAGCGGAGCAGCGATCTGACCAAAATTCCTGATGTATCGCCGATAGAATTTGGCAAAACCCAGGAAACGCTGCAGGGCCTTACGGGAGTCGGGGACTGGCCACTTGGCGACAGCTTCTATCTTAGCTGAGTCTGGTTTAATCCCCCTGGTAGAGATGATATGGCCAAGGAACGTAACCGACTCGGCGTGGAATTCGCACTTCTCCGCCTTGACGACTGGTTCTCTAATAGGCGCTGGAGGACCCGTCTAACGTGCTGAGTGTGTAAGTGGAGAGAAGGGGAGAAAATCTGAATATCATCCAAATACAAAAAGACAAACTGATTGATCATGTCACCCAGAACGCTATTGACGAGACTCTGGAAAATCAGAGTCATTATTTTGAGAAAAGCAGAAGACATTAGAGGTAGGGGGTACCTGTTCTTTACAGTAATGTCATTCAAACCTCTGTAATCGATACAAGGGCGTAGGGAGCCGTCCTTCTTCTGAACGAAGAAAAACCCCGCCCCAGCAGGAGAGGAGGAATGGCGAATGAGCCCCGCCTGTAGTGAATCACGGATATACCTGTCCATGGCCTCTCTTTCAGGACCAGAAAGGGAATATAAACGACCCTTAGGCGGAGAAGTGCCCGGGAGAAGGTCAATGGCACAGTCGTAGGGGCGATGCGGAGGTAGAGAGGTGGCCCGGGACCTACTGAAAACCTAATAGGCGCTGGAGGACCCGTCTAACGTGCTGAGTGTGTAAGTGGAGAGAAGGGGAGAAAATCTGAATATCATCCAAATACAAAAAGACAAACTGATTGATCATGTCACCCAGAACGCTATTGACGAGACTCTGGAAAATCAGAGTCATTATTTTGAGAAAAGCAGAAGACATTAGAGGTAGGGGGTACCTGTTCTTTACAGTAATGTCATTCAAACCTCTGTAATCGATACAAGAGCGTAGGGAGCCGTCCTTCTTCTGAACGAAGAAAAACCCCGCCCCAGCGGGAGAGGAGGAATGGTGAATGAGCCCAGCCTGTAGTGACTCACGTATATACCTGTCCATGGCCTCTCTTTCAGGACCGGAAAGGGAATATAAACAACCCTTAGGCGGAGAATTGCCCGGGAGAAGGTCAATGGCACAGTCATAGGGACGATGCGGAGGTAGAGAGGTGGCCCGGGACCTACTGAAAACTGCACGAAGATCGCAGTACTCCGCCGGGACGCCGGTCAAGTCAGCAGGATCCACCTGCGGAACACAAGACACAGAGACAGCAGGAAAAGCAGCACCCAAACATGACACATGACAAGACAGATAATCATTCACTATTTCCGCATCTTTTCTGTTGTGAGACAGCATACCAACAAAATCACTGACACAGGTGTTCAGTTTAGACCTTACTTTGGAAAGCATCTTCCTCGTTGGGACCGCGAGGCGTCTTCAGCAGAAACCCAACACGCCTCTGTCACAGATCTGTTGAGAAGCGCAGAGAATACGGTGTGTTTTCTGACACCAGCGGCCCGTGAGCTGGGCAAGAAGAGGCTCGAGGAGATTTGGCTACATCATCATCATCATCACAGCCACTGTGTTCTGGTTTCCGCTGTTTATCATCCTCGTGCTGAACATGTTTGAGGACTTCAGACAGAATCAAGTGAGAACTGCTTCTTTTTTTTTCTCTGTATCTCATGACAAAACTAGGCTACTTTGTTTTTTTAACTGTTTTTATTTGCTTAGGCCTATTTATTTATTTGTCTGCTTTCTTGTTAGTTAGTCTTAGAAAATAAATAAAAACTTTTATTAATATCGGATAGGCCTACTAAACGTTAAATTGTCCACATTCATTTATATAGGCCACAGGATATAGGCTATATGTGACCCTGGAGCACAAAAGCAGTCTTAAGTCGCTGGGGTATATTTGTAGCAATAGCCAACAATACATTGTATGGGTCAAAATCATCGATTTTTATTTTATGCCAAAAATCATTAGGATATTAAGTAAAGATCATATTCCACGAATATATTTCATAAATTTCCTACCGTAAATATATCAAAACTTAATTTTTGTTTAATAATATGCATTGCTAAGAACTTCAGTTAGACAATTTTAAAGGCGATTTTCTCAATATTTAGATTTTTTTGCACCCTCAGATTCCAGACAAATAGTTGTATTTCAGCCAAATATCGTCCTATCCTAATAAACCGTACATCAATGGAAAGCTTACTTATTTAGCTGTAGCCTATATGTATTTAGATGTGTATATATCTAGCTATATAGATATAGCCTCTCTCTCTCTCTCTCTCTCTCTCTCTCTCTCGCTCTATCTATCTCTCTCTCTCTGTGTGTGTGTGTGTGTGTGTGTGTTTATTTATTTGGGATGAAATTGTTACCCCGAATAAAACAGTTCACTTGTCCACATTTTGAGTGATTGGTTGATTTAAAATGTTTCCTTAAAATAAAGGTGACTTGACTGTTGACATGACTTGTTGTTATGCTAAATAATATAGTTTCCCTAAAAAGGTTTAATTAGAAAACATAAGTATTTCAAAGAAGTCGAACTGTCCAATATTTTCAGGTTCTGTCTGAAATTCTTAGCTACTCTAAAAATATAATTTTCATCAAGAATTTATTATTTTTTTTAAATGTAAGCGTTTTCACATTTTGGAGCTCTCTGTAATATTTTCTCTTTCTTTTAAATCCCTTTGATTGTGTCTGTGTGTGTGTGAGAGAAAGAGAGAACTGAGAACATGTTCTTGTTCATTCACTGTGTCCATCGGTCTGTGTTTTGTAGCTGGCTGCTGCGCGAGCTGCGCACGTGCGTTCCTGCAGCAGTGGAGCCGCTCATTTACACGCTGCTCCATCGACAGCTGCGCTCATAACTCCTCAAACTCCTGCCCAACACACTCATCAAACAGCTGACTGATGGACAGAAGCAACTTATTTAATTA